TGAAGGTATGTGTGCGAGACTGGAAGCTGTCATCAAGGCTAAGGGTGAGTCAACACCCAATTCCAGCATTACCGATGGAGGGCACCACGGACTGGTAAGTCATTTTCAGCAACGTGTAAGGATATTTTTGATGACAGTTTCCATGGGCACCAGACAATGAGTTATAAACTAAAGAAACATTTGAATAGAGAAGTGAAAGATTAGAAAAAAATCAAGTTGAAGTACAACATGAGCAATTCCTCTCATATTATACATGTTTACGGATAGAACCTGGATATGAAAACCAAGAACAACCCATGAAAACACAAAAGGAAATCTATGACATGAGGAACAGGGAGATACCTTTAGAAAAATTTACAACAGAAAAGCTAATGAAAGTGATAGTATTAAAGGGAAAATGATCAAATATGCAAATTAAAAGAAAAGACTCTCACACTTTCTCAATTTATGTTGGAAGAATGCACATATACATCAACAGTGAAAAATCATAGTAAATTTGGCATCTTCACAAAAAAAGGCCATTCAACATGTGAAAATAAAATATTAAAATTATAACATTATAATTGAAAAGTATTTATAATTATGGTCTCATGAGGCAGTCAATGTGTTAAGAATATATTTTTAACCTAACACTTATATTACCAGAAATGAATGTTTCGGAAGTATTACAATTCTGACCACTCAAATGCATTCAGGGTGTCACACCGACTATGGGCTACCCCAATAACTTCTAAATAGTTTATGATATCGAAATACAGTTTTTGCTCAACAATGCGGAATGATGGGGCAAATACTATGCCGTCAAGATATTGTTTAAAATATTTTTAGTTTTCAAGAAATTTAATTATCATTGATATTTTAAATGGATATTTTCCCAACACCAGTTGATAGAACATATAAAGAGGAATGCAATGATATATCATTTATTAATATCTTGGAAGTAATTTGAGTTAAAAACAAACTTTCTAATGTGCGTTTTTAAATTCAGTAATTTATCACAATATTTCCTATAGCAGCCCTTGCAACTGTTGCCTGAGAGGAAGGTGGCTTTCTTGGAGCAGACACTGTTGCAGAGAGAGAGGGGAAAGGTCAAAAGACCACCTTCCCCAAAAGCGTCAACTGCAAGGGCAGCTATATTAACATACATAACGTTATTGTATTTTTCTTTTCATGATCTATCTATTGCAAGTGAAAATATATGGTTCCATTTAGAAAATTAAAGATGATTAAAATTCTCAAAAACGAAAAATATTTTAAACAATATCTCTACAGCATATTACTTGCCACTATGATTCTGCATTTTTGAGCAAAAAGTATTTCAATATCATGAATGGTTTAGAAGTTTTGGGGTGGCCCATAGTTGGTGGGACTCTGTGTAAACATTTTTGAAATAGTAATCTTCAAAAAGAAGACCCTTATAAATCAATTATTCTGTTACTCTAGTAGCTCAAGTTCATATTTATTATACTAGACAAAAAAGAAATCTGCATGGCCCTAACAGTGAAACTGCACTCTCAAAAAAGTCCCCAAAAATTATTCCTGGACAGAAACAATGATTCTAATCCTGGCTGCAAGCTCATTTCAGAACAATTTTTCTTTTCCACCTTAAAATTATAATTTTTTATTGTACTCTTTGTACTGCCACTTACAAAATTAATGCATTGTAGTAGCACATTAACTGTAATATAAACTATCTTCACATGTTGAACACACCTTGTGTTGTATTTATAAAACAAATAGATTGTTATCATTATCCTCATTACACGCTTGAATGGGTGTGATAATCCCATATTCTATTCCAATTGTTACATTTGTTTTCTACAGTTTGGAGTAAAATTTTTTTGATTCTTTAAAATTGTAAATGGGCAAAATAATTTCATAACATTTTGCTCAGATATCCAAGACCTTAATAATTCTGCTCTCAACTTTATAATTAATAAAACTTGTATATATCCATACTCTTCAGTGAATGTTTTTTAAATGCCAAAATTAAATTTTTTCTAATTAGTGCCGCCACGAAGCCTGGGCAGATGGAGCAATCACCGCAGGCCCTGAAAATCTATGCCAGATGCTAAAAAATGATATACTTTCAAAATAATAAACATTATAAAAATATGGAAAAATAATTATAATAATTTTGTATAAAGATAGATAAAGTAGACTTCTATTGTACAAAATTTGCAATTTTACGTCCTACCATGAATTTGGTAGTCACTATATCATATTTTTATTAAAAATATATCGTATTAATACATTTGACAGTGCTTTAATTATAATTTCATGTAATATTTACAAAAATGGAATTTTAAATATATTGATTTTAAGAGTACAAACCCAGTTAATTCCAAAAAGTAAAATATTGAGTAATAAATATCTAAGCTCAAATATTTTTTTAGGTCAGTGTACAATGAGACACCACTATTAATAAGAATGTACTTTGACCATTAAATACTTGGTTCCGTGCAGAACAACTATTTTGATTAATATTTAATATTGTATTGCAAAATAATTACACAGAATTTAGTAACAAATAAAACACATGAATTTTTTAACCCTAGAAATACGGGGAGAGGGGGAGGGGGCATGCTCAAGGAGCATAGTTTTTCAATAGTGCTTTTAGTAATGATATTATTTTTTCCCTTTCATCTATACAAAAAATTTTATTTGTTTGTTTGGCAATGTTTTCAACATTCATTCTTTTTCATAAAATCCCCTGAACAGAACTAGATAAAAGAGTAAGACTACTTTTCAGTTGTTACAGTTATTCACTGAAAATGTCAGAAAGGTGTATGAGTGGGCAATAGAAGGATGCTTGTGATGGAGAGTATAATGTATCAGACTGAGATTATAGAAAGAGAGAGAGAATTAAAGAAATACAAATTAATTCAAGAGGATTCCTTGAAGGCCTTTTGTATTTCTAAGTCCCCATCTCGATCAGGTTTTCGTCCAGATTCCTTGATCCATTGAGAAAATGCTGAGATGCCCCCTTGTTTTGCTTCTGGACGTAAATGTAGCTTCACTGTGCACACATGAACTCTCCTTTTGCTTGTAATGGTAGGAGTAGAGGTAAGGGCGAGTTACTATTTTGTTAGCAATTCATTTACCGATGCAAACAAGTTTTCTATAACTCAGAAACGAACGTCTATTCTTTTAAAATATTGCTAATCTCATGCTTTTTTTAAATTTTTATTTATTTATTTCAAACTTTTCCTCATCTCTCAACTATTTATAGTTAAAATAACTAGAAGGCATTCTGGAACTCAAGAAAACGTGCAGTTAATCTTCTCCCCTATACATCACAAACAGTTTTTACTGTTTTTTTGACTAAATAAATCAAAATAAAGTGTTCAGTGAATATATATCCCTTCAGTGAATATAAGAACTTGTATTGCTAGGGTTAATACAATGAAAACTTTTTCTATTTATTTATTTATTTATTTATTTATGGAGGAGGGACCTGGAATTCAATTTTGCCAAGCGATAACTTATGGCATGAAGGTCGTATGGAAATCATCAACTTCAAATTAGTAAATTAAACAATGCCTTATACTAAAAAATCAAACAAACAAAACAGTATTACTGCTGAAAACATTTGATTAGAGTATTTGCCAATGACCACTCAAAACATCAATTAAGGATAAGAATATGGAGTCGTGCATCAAAAAAAAAATTAACATACAAGATGCAAAAAAGAATAATTTAAACAATTACAATCACTAAAAGATCGCATTCCTTGTACCCACAAAAATATTTTAAAAAAACTAAACCTTTTGCTGCATTCAATTCAATCATCATAAAACAAATCCTGTATAATGTTTTCAAAAGGTTCTGGAATCACTGAAAATTAGGTAATTAAAGGATTTGGCTTGAGACAGTCCTATGCCACTGAGAGAAGAGAAGATGCCACAGACAAGATGGTTTCAATCTGATGACCCACACCAGAGAAGGAAGAACACACAGTTTTGCAGTATTGCGACAATTGTCACACAAGCATCTCTATATTTACACAAAATGTAATAAGTAATATGGTGATTATGTTAGAAAAATGATTTTAATTTCTACAAATATGTAGCAGAGACCTATATAGAGCCAAGCGCTTCAATTTATTAGTGCAATATCTGACTGAATATACTGAATATATTGACGTTATAAACCTAACATTAGATGATCTGATGAGACATCTGTTTAAGTGCCTCAAAACAAATTACACAACTTAAGAATTTAGATGTGTGGTAAGGCAAGAGACCGCTTTAGATCTTAATTTAAAATTTTCAGTACCTGCATGGAAAGAAGTCCTTTGATTTTAGATCAGGCAAGCTAGAAGAAACATTTGGAGACCCATAATAGCTCTAAATGATACTAAATTTCAAATTGTGACACTTTGTACATCTTGCTGTAAAGTATACTACCATTTAATGGGCAGGAAAAACTAAATTTCACGAATCTTATTCTCATGTGCAAAGAATATTAATAGTTAACTGTGTTTATAAGTAACAGTGACATTATGTAATAACAACACAATAAAAGGAGAATCGCTACACACAGCCTTTTGTGCAAGTTTCTAATCAATATCAAAAGCCGAGCTTTGAATCAAATTTCTGACTTGACCAATACTTTACTCTCCAATTAATGCCTGTGTTGCTACCCAAATTCCTTAACTCCATGAAGTCACAGAGGTTATGTAATTCAGGGCAGCGCAGGATCCTAGTTAATTGACAAACAGGGAACCCTGTGATCTAACAGCGCTGAGCTCCTGACTGAAGGAGTAAAAGGCTAACTGACTAGATTAAAGGAAGATTACTCCAAATGTTCAATGCTAGTAGATGGCGGTAATACAATGCTGTTATGAATTGTAACAGAACTTAATGGTTAGACCCCCCTCCTCCAATATACATTAAAAACTAATTATGCAATTTAGAAAGAGGCAAAGGGACAAATACAAAAATAACAGAAGGTAACAATACTACACAAACACACTCACAAAATTAATTTCATATTACCTGAGACCAAGAGCTGATATCATTTTCTCCAAGACTCTCTTGTCCTGAAAGTTCACCCATGGGAGGCATCACTTCATCAGTCTGAATGTCCTGATTAGCCACTACACTTACATCAGTATCACAATCTGAAGTCTGATCTTCGCATCCACTTTGCTGACTGGATGGTTTTAGAACTGCTTCACGGTTATCACTTTGGGCCTGATCTCCTTCAGTTGCCAGGAAGTGAGTTGGTACAAGAACATGAATACCCTCTATATCAACAACTTTGAAGTGCCTTCCTTCCATACTTGCTGCAGAATCTCTGCACACAGTTGTTTGCACTTGAGCCTCAGATGGTTGGCTTTCCACTTCACAAACAGCCCCATCTGCGTAAATATCAGATGTGATATATTCTGCTGAATCTTTCTCTGCACTATCTACAGGACAAACTTCTACTGAGCAGTTTTTATCTGTTTCGGAAAGAAATCCCCAACCTTCATTTTCATTACATTTCTCGCCAGCTGCAGACATGCTATTCCTTTCTTCATGTACTATTACATCCACACAAGCATTTTCTAATTCACTGCTATTACCTCCTGCAGGTTCATCTTTTGCTTCAGAACTAACTTTGCTAAGGTCTGTTCTCACTCTCAAATTAGGACTCACAGGACTAAACAGTACATCTGATGCCCCAGTAATATCATCCATACACACATTACCATCTTCATTTGCACATCCTTTGTCACAAGAATTTGAAACCATTTTCTCATTTCTATCTCTACCATATGCACTGTTGCTGCAATCATTTTTTGCACCAGTAGGAGAAGGTACAATAATCTGATTATTTATATTCTCTTCGTACTCTTCCCTTACATTTGCACTATTGTTTGGTAAATCCTGTACCTGGTCTGCTTCTTGAGTTTCTTGGCTATCACTACACTGACTTATATGCTTAGGAGAACACTGCTTGTCTTCAACATCCCTGTACTTCGGCAATTCAGGGGTGGAAGGTACAATGGCCTGGTCCTTTTCATTTCGCTTAGCTTCTTGACATCCATTTGAAATAGATGACAGAAAAATTGATGAATTTGACTGAATATTATCTCCGTTTTGTAGAACAGCAGCAGAGCTGGAAGACACTGGAATATTATTCTGAAATACAGGATTACCACTAGCAGCAATGCTGAATTGCGGTGAAATAGGAAACAAGGGAGATGGTGGAAGAATTTGGCGAGTAAGTGGTTGTTGCGGTACGGTCCGAAAAGCATTATAAAACTGAAGTTGTTGTTGCTGTTGTTGGAGGATATACGGATTATACAGCAATGGCATTACTGCTGCCGTACCCATTTCCCCTGCAGGAGCTGCAATAATAGCAGGAACTGAGAAGCACTGAGGCATCACAGCACCCCCAACAGAGGCATTACTACTCATGAACTGTTGATATGTTACTGCAGCTGTAAAGTGACTACTACTTGATGGGTACTGCTGTGATGTTCCAGACTCTGTTGATTCTCCAAGAGCTGGTTCATTTTGCTCACCAGTGTATTGAGCAGCCAGCATACTGTCCATTTCATTTTGAGCATTTCCTTCCCTTCCAGGGCCACAGTACTTTAATAATGCTTCAATAACCTGATCTTTTGGATGAGTGTTTAAATGCGTTTGCAACGAGACGCCCTCCCGAAGGTAAAGGGTACATACTGGACAAGAAACTGAGATATCCATCACAAAGCACTCTAAACGTTCATGGATATTTCACGCTTGAGGCGCACGACGAGGCCTCAAATGGCACTAAAGTATTAAAAATACATTATAATAGTAGCTCTCAAAGAAATGTTTTCGAAATATCACATATATATTTTTTTTCTATTACACAACTATCGCTAAGATTGAAATTTCACTACTTTGTTCGCCAACATCACAAATGACAGCAGACACCCATACACCTCACCGAAGCCATTAGGGCAAGGCAAAAGTAGTGCTGAGCGAATACTCAGAGAGTACAAGTTGACTCAATATGTGTATACGTGTAGTATTCTCGTTGAAAATATATTTAACGCAACCTATCGGATATTTCTTAAAATCCTCTGTCTATACTATGCAAATTCTCTGCTTTCCTTGTATTTCTCAAAGGAGCCAAATACCAAGGACAACTAACCAATGATAGTTCGGCGATCGCCCACTTTATACTTATTATTATTAAAACTAGTTAAAACCACAATAGAAAGTGCGATGCCAATATAAAAAGTATAGAATCACGATTCTAAGCTCTTTGTATCATGATGAAAACTTTATACTTGTTCCTCTGTATTCCCTTTTGTCTTTTTTTGGGTAGGTACCTACCCTTTTCCATTCATTATCATCTGTTGTAAAGTAAAATAACTAATAAAATGAATTTCATAGGTAACTTAAACAAGTCCGTGACATTTCCATTCATAGTAATGATAACCATAATCACAATTTTGAACATCACCGTCTTGGGTATAATCCTGGTGGAAATAATCATTATTTGTTCTACGGGTATCACTGACTCAAAATTATTAGTGGGATTCAATAGGCATATATAATTTTTATAAAGTTCAGATTAGTGGAAATACACCCCCAATACACCCAACATCTCCTACATTGGATCTTATCATGGCCAACTCTAGAGTATTAGTGTAAACCTAGTGTAGAGTCGGCCGTAGGAGGCATTCATTTACATTTTCCCAAAAAATTTGGGGGTGGGGGCACGTGGTGACAGGCGATACCGCTCATGATATTGAAAATTTGATGTAAGCGCTGCTTGAATATATGATAGCTACGTGAGAATGCAAATTATTGTGTACCTGCCTACCCGCCTGCCCGCACGTGCGTCCGTCCGTCATCCGTCTATCTCTGTCTGTCTCTCTCCCTCTCTCTTTCTCTCTCTCTCTCTCTCTCTCTCTCTCTCTCTCTCTCTCTCTCTCTCTCTCTCTCTCTCATTTTCTCTAATTTTTCCAATTTGAGTTTTCCCTGTAACTTTGGCAGATTAGTATATATACACTATTTAAATATTTTCCCCATAATATATATCAATGAAAAAAACACAACTTTTTAATGTAAATTTCAGGGACCTGCAAAATATTTGTGATATATTGATGTCTGACTATAAAGAAAGATGCTCAGAATCATCAACTTTGGTCTTTCAATAAAATTTATAGGTTTGAATTGTTGAATAAATTTTTAGTATTTCCCAATTTGCATTGAATTGCCAATAAATTCATAGTCTAAATGAAAATTTAAAATAAAATCTTGTTAAATAACTCCCAAATATATTATTTAGACTTTACTCAAATGCAAACGAAATGATATTTAAAAAAAATACAAATTTATAGAACACAAGGCAATACATTAAAAAAAAAAAATTTTTAAGAAGTTTATTTCAGGAACAAAGATTCTTATTCCAATGATAAGATCATTGAATACCAGATTTTGTTTACATCTCTCATTATTATCATTTATTCTTAATGCAACTAATGTAGGGAAAGGAGTAGGGGTAGATATTTCGGGACTCAAGAAAACTTGCGGATATAATAAGGGCCGGTTTCACCAACAGCCGAGTTGAGAGTAGTTACCCGAGAGTAACCATTTACTCCAAGATAGTAACTCTCGAGTAGAATATGAGCGTTTCGGCCATGCTTCTACAGGTTTATATGATAAATAAATAAAAGATATTGTCAGGTATCAATATTTTAATTCAACTTATGATCATTTCGATCGGCGAGTAGCGGCGATCATCCTCAGAGCTAAAATGTGAAATACAAATATTATTAACAGGTTGTAGTTATTGTATACAAGATGCGTAAGCAAGTGTACACAGTTACACACAAAGTAATTTTACACAGTACAACTCCCTACACCCCAACATAAAATTCACGCACGGAGATAGAAAATGAAACAAAAATCTTTAAACTTCCTTGATCTCACCATCACGCTAGCACAGGACTATCAGAATTAGCATATTCAGAAAACCCACACACACGGACACAATCATACACAACACTTCACAACACCCGCCCCCCACACACACACACACACAAACACGCAGCCTTCTATTGCGATGGTGCATCGATTAATTTCCATACCTATGTCCGCAGAAACACAAAAAAGGAAATAAACACAATAAAACATATAGCCAGAAATGAATGGATACGACTGCAACATGCATTGACAAATTAATAGTCAAAAAAACAAATACACTCAATATCCGCAAACTCACTACTCTCACACCAATTGAGACAGAAACACTACAGCCAAGTACTTCACAATCCTTATATGGACCCTTTCTCTGAAAATAGACTCCACACTCAATAAATTCGGTCTAAAAACTTCTTTCGAAAACACTCAAGACATTATACAAAACACTACTGCAACACTAAAGACACAATCCCACCCACATCCTTATGCGGAGTCTATGCTCTTCACGTGCAACAATTGCAATGCCATATACATAGGACAAACAGGCCGTAAATTCACACAGAGAATCAAAGAACACGAACAAGCATGGAAAAATAACACTACCACAGACTCAAACTTTTGCGGTCACCTAAATTTAAACAACACACATTTGATAAACACATAATTCCGAATTCTAGAAACTGAGAACAGGTACTGGAACAGAATAAAATTAGAAGCCCTACACATACACAACGCCCTCAAAAAACAGAACATGACATGTCTTAACCAACAAATCCCTGAACTCTCTTCACTCTGCTAAAATTAGCACAAAGTGTACACCCCAACCCACCCCAGCCCTCCTACTCCACTAACCTTCGCTTCGCCCGACCGTCTCTCAAGCATCACCAGCGGAATATTATCCACTAGTGGCGAAGACAAAGGGGTGCGAGAGAGAATGGATTGGTTTTAATTATGACGATCCAGATTTTGTCATGAGGTTATGTTTGACCAATCAGCTGTTCAACTTCATTCACACATACATTATAAACTGTAAAGACTTCTAAAGTCTTTTCTCCCTTCTGGATACGAATAAAGGTAGTACGTTCGAATATCGACAACAAAAGGAAAAATAAAAACTACAGAACTTATAAAAAACTCGAGATCAACATTTGAAAAACTAAACATTTTCTTTCCCTAGTTATAGAAAATGATTTGACCCGCCATCGCGTAAACGAACTCTAATTAAATTAGATTTTTCGCTCTTGAATCGCTCTCAAATATTGTGTGTTCAGCTGATTGCGGCGAGTAAATAGGAGAGAGTATGTACTCTAGAGTAAAATAACCCTCTAGAAGCAGCCCATCCGACAGTTGTGATGGAAACTCTCGCGAGCTCCATCATATTCTTACGCTCTGAGAGGACTGTGTTGGTAAAACTAAATCTTATGGACTTCATTTTTTTTGAATACCGGTGTGTTACTCTTTCTGGTAAACAGCTCACTTAACTCGGTCGTGTTGTTGTGAAATCGGCAATACCGGCAAACCGCTTCACTCAAGTTACTGCTCGTGTGGTGAACGCTCCAAGAAGTTCTTCTGACGAAACATGATTTACTCCAGAGTAACTCTTACTCTTTTGTTTGGTGAAATTGTCCCTTAATAGTATTTGTATCAGGAATGTATTTACACATTACTGTAATGCCTTTCGCTGTAGGTGTCGTGCTACTAGCAGCGATTGCAGGCAATTACAAATGCTTCCCGTACAGGATGCATTAAAGTTTGAGTTCGCAGGGAAGCTAAGTTCCCTGGAGGAGCGTGGTGGTGAGCGAGGTTCAAGTACAGAGACCAAGTCCGATGAAGTATGAAAATAAGTTTAATTGAAGAAGTAGAGCTGCAGAGCAGCGTGAAGTTTACACAACAAAGTCTGTAGGCTGTCTGTCCGATATCAACGCTACAGGATCCTTATATGGAAAACAGGGAGATTTACGAGGCCATTACGCCACCCCCGCCAGAACTCGGCATGCCCTGGACGCAATAAAACTGACATAACTGTCAGAGGACTTTTGCCTTTTGAAACTCACAAGATCCCAAACATTCCTGTTTCCACGTCTGGAATCGTGTTAACGTTGACGGCGGTTTGGGGTGCCCAATCACCCATGACCTCTGGCACGGCGCCTGCTCCAGACACGACCCCTAATTTAAACATGTCTGAAGGGTGATATTTCTTTCACGTACAGTTTGAAAGAAAATTTCATTGCTCTTCTTAAGCAATGCGTACTTCATATGATGTAGGTGCATTTACCATTACAACTCCCCCTTTTAGAAAAAGTTTGACCAACAGATGAAAACTTTTTCTAACAGAAAGCTTTCTTGAGCTTTTCGTACGTGTGGATATGGGTAGAAGTTCTTTCTCGCCATCAACCTCCAGTTATGCTGATAAATTTTGATGAGTGAGCAGGAGATATTGTGGAATTTATTTCTGCAGTGGAAGAACTGCTCGTCACGAGTACCAGTTGTTTTATTAACTTACAATTCTCCCTGCTGCCTGAATAATTGTGATTATTAATAAGAATCTTTCTCTTGTTTCTTTCCATTAATTTCTTTGGCGAACATCTGTCCCATAACCAATAAGTACAATTTCTACATCTTTTAACACAACAAAAAACATACGAACATGAAAGTATTAACAACATTAATATGCCAAAAACTGAACTACATGTTATTTCATGAGCGTGCCAATAAGAATATTCTTTCTTACTTGTTCCTCAATTAGTTTCCTTCTACTCAAACTTTAACACTTTGTTACATACACAGTTTTCTTCCTTACATAATATAGATTTCTTCCTTACATATATTGTTTCTTCGCTTACATATATAAAGTTTCTTCCTTACATATATAGTTTCTTTCTTACATATATAGTTTATTTGCTCATATATAGGTTTCTTTACTTACATACATAGTTTCTTTTACATACATAGTTTCTTTCTCATCATACAGTTTCTTCCGTACATACATAATTTCATCCTTACATACATAGTTTAACTACTAGTTGAAAACATTTGAGAACTCATCATTTGAACATTTTACATAATGTTGCCATCATGG